TGGGATTACAGGCATGAGCTACCATACCCAGCTTGCAGCTGACTTTCAAGTGATTCAGGAAAAAGAAAAAAAAAAAAAAAAAAAACAGCAAACTGTGAATTGGTGACTAATTGATGTGTACATGTGAGCTCACTGGACTATGCTTTCACCTGTCTAAAATTTCTCAAACCGGAGAAAATTTTATGTACCTGTAACAAGGAGTATGCTGATGACTTATAATTTGATCCAACAATATGGGATTGGATGAGCAGAAACAATTTTATAGGAAATGGATTGATATTTTAAGCAAAAATAGCAATGATCCAATTTCTATAAACCATATCAAAATGATAATGATCGTCACCAAGAGAGATAATATAGCGTGGCTATTTTTTTTTTTTTTTTTTGAGAGAGAGAGAGAGAGAGAGTTTTCAATATTTATTTTTTAGTTCTCGGCGGACATAACATCTTTGTTGGTATGTGGTGCTGAGGATCGAACCCGGGCCGCACGCATGCCAGGCGAGCGCACTACCGCTTGAGCCACATCCCCAGCCCCTAGACGTGGCTATTGTTAATCACTGTTTTCTAAATTATAATATATAATATATGAAAAATAAAAGTGAAGAGTGTGAAATCTGGCATTAATCCACTGGAAGCTGAGGAAGTGGCACGTGGGGAAAGTTTTAAGGGGAGTGGAGGCCGAGGGGAATTTCTAGGGCTGTGAAGACAGAAGCAGCAGTGCAGGCAAAACCAGCAGGCGGGGCCTGGCCTGTTCAGTCTGGCACAGTGCCAGCGGGGACCAGGTTGGGTGGGTTACCTATGGTTGAAGAAGTGGCCAAGGTTAGGCCACACAGGAAAACCTGCTGGAGGAACCTGTTGGCAGTGAGTGCCACAAGAGGAGGGGAGGCCAGCAGGGGAGACATCCAGATGTACCTGAGATCAGCTGCTGGCGGCTATACCAAGGGTGGACTGAAGGGGATGATCCTGGTGGTTACTCAAAGTGCCCATGAGAAAAATGATTTGGAGGTGGGGGTAAAGAGATTGACTAGAGGATTCTGGGAATAAAACGGCAGAAGTTGACTAGATGAAGAAGAAAATGAATCAGTTGAGTGTAATTTCCGAAGTTTGTGGCTTGAGCTACTCAGTACTGGGGAGTTGCTGTCTAAACCAGATGAGGGCGGAGGGCATGCTACTGTGGTGCACTCCTATAGCCTCAGTAGCTTGGAAAGCGGGGGCAGGAGGATCCCAAGTTTGAGACTCTTGTCAAAAAAAAAAAAAGACTGGGGAGGTAACATGTAACCCAGTGGTTAACATGCCCCTATGTTCAATCCCCAATATCAAATAAATAAATAAAGAGGGATGAGGTGAAAAACCAGCCCTTACCTCAGAGCAAAGCCTGTCCAAGGAAGGGACATGACCTTTGTCCTTGGAAAGACCCACAGAGCACTCCTAGGCACATTTCCACCCTGCTAAGTTGCTTATCTACAAATAACAGGAGAGATCTGTGGAGCCAGGTGCCCCTGACTCAGTCAGGCTAGGTGGGGATCCATAGCAACCCCCTAGCAGCCACCAATCAGCATGAGACAGGGAAATACCTGGGATGCCAGATGACCCTCCCAGTAGTTTATGGTGGTTGATAACATGTGGGGAAACCATGTAGTTCAGCACATACACCCCTCTTGGCTCAAACCAATCAGTTCAAGTGAATACCCCTTTTGTACTAACCAATCACCCCTACCCAACTTGTTCCCGCCAGTGAATGTGCTAATCAGGTTTTAGAGTTATTATTTGATTTTCCCTCGGTGTGTGATGATTTGCTAAGAGATGCTATGATGTATGTGGGGGTCCCTGCCTTCTCCAAAGAGTGTATAAAACTGCTGCAAACCCTGGGCTCGGGGCCTCTCAGAGTCACCAGTTGCTGTGTGCACGCGGAGGACCGAGTTAGCTCGCAATAAACACCTCTTTGCTGCTTACATCGATCTTGGTCTCTGGTGGTCTTTTGGGGGTCCCGAATTCGAGCATAACAGAGGAGAGAATCAGATCTAAAGGGGGATGTGATTTCAGTTTGGGACATGGTACATTTGGGGTGCTTGTGAAATACCCGAGCAGGAGACCTAATGACAAGGGCTCAAGGAGAAGCTCAGGCTGGGGAATGAGGCTTGGAGTCTGGGTGCCTCCCTCCTCTGCCAGGTTTCTGTCAAGGACCCTGCCCTCTCACACCAGTAAGAGATTTAAGAGGGAATGGCCGCTCAGGTGCTGAAGCCTAAGGTGATGGGCTGAGAAGCTGGGAACTGAGAGATGAACCTATCCTCTGACATCTCTGTATCCAGTACACGTATGACTATTTTAGTTTTTAAAATAGCAAATCAATGAGCAAATTAAGCAAATTTAATATTTACTTTATTAATAAAGTTAATGAAAACAATACATAAATGCCAAGGTTCAGAGTTTTAAGAAAGGAAAATTCAAACCGCTTTAAGTTCTCAACAGTCAGGGGAGTAAGGGCAGACTTACAGTAGCACCAGGCAAACTGGAGTTCTGAAATGTAGCCTCAATGTAGCCACGCTCACGTGGCTAAGCCTCTACTTCTCCGAGCCCAAGATACTGCTAATAGCAAAAGTGGGGTAACAGGAGGGACATGAAGAAGAGCGACAATATCATGCACATCATGATGAGTGGAGCACCTGGCCCATCAGTGGAGAAGCTGAGACCACAGGACCGGACGGAGCGCGTATAGAGCACCCAAAGGAACCTCCTCTGATTCCCAATCTTCACCCCGGGGCTGAAGCCCTAGAGGAAGTTCTTTCCAAGTGGCATTTACTTGGCACATGGCAAGAGGTCAACACCCTGCTAGGTGGCCTGTCAAAAGTGCTATATTCTGAGCTTTGGAATATCTACCAGAAACCCTGAGGCTCACGATGGGTGAACGCAGACCAGCACATGCCGTGGATGCAGCAGGTCACCATGTCTGTCTGTGGAAAGCAGGAGTAACAAGCCCTTAAAAGCCTTGTCTGGAACTTTTACTTGAACTCTCGAGGTGGGGAAATTCTCTTTCCTCTTGGTTGCTAGTCTGCAGGCTCTAGGTCAACCAAGAACAAAGCAGAGCCCAGAGGTATGTGGCAGGTGCCTGGCAATGTGATGTAAGCACCGGCACTGGGCTAGGTTGGACACTCTGGAGTTACAGGAGCCACATCCCTGTGCCTAAGTTGTGTCAATTGTCACCAAGAACCACAAGAGTCCTCGGTTATGGGCCCCAGTCTTAGAACAGGATATGGCCTCAGAGCCACAATGATTACTGAACAAAAGGACTTTGCCCTCTGGGGATCTGGTTCCATGACAAGCCTCCTCCAGGACCACAGCTCCCTAGCCATGAGAAACCCACGCAGATGCAGACTCAGGACAAGATGGAGAGGAGCAGCAAATGAAAAGACAAACTATGCAGGTGGAGGGCTGGGGGACATGGCTTAGGGTTGGGGGTACAGCACCTGTTTAGCATGCATGAGGCCCCTGGGTTCTAGCCCCCGTGCAGTGGGTGGGGCGACACACAGAGAAGGGAATTACTTCAAGGTGAGAGAAAAAAGCCAGGACTAGTAACAGTAGAAAAGTTAAAATGGTAATTAAACAACACAAGACTAGAGATTTTAAACTGGATCATTAACTGAAATTCTTCTGAAAGCTATGCTGGCCTATGGGACGGTATCACTGAATCGATAGGAATTTTCTTAGGTTTAAAACACCCTTCTTAGGAGATGTGTGCTGAGACTCTTGGAAGTGCCACAACGTCAGCACACCTGTCAAGTGCTTCAGCAAAACAAATTGGTATGTCTAGACCAGAAAGCAGAGGTGGCTAATATTTTAATAACTGGCAAACCTATGTGAATGGTGTAGGGATGTTAACCATTCTGTACCAGCTTTCCAACTAGGCAAAGCCAGAGAGACAGAGTTCCAGCTGCCAGCAGACAAGTGTGTGGGCGGAGGCTGGGGGAGAGAGTACCTCATTCCCACTGCACATCTGTCTTGTCAGAGCTCTCGGGCAAGAGGAGGAAAAGCATTGTCTCCTGCCCCATACCTGTCGGTAGCTGGGTCCCTGGTGTAGGAAGGATTCTGTTAAATTACCCAAAGCTGAGAAACTGACAGACATTTCCCAACAGTAGAGTAAAAATATTCACACTGGAGTTGACCTCATTCTCCACTGGAGAACCACCAATCATCCTGTTAGTTTTAAGGTGCCTGAAATAATTGTTTGGAATTGGTATAAAATCCAGAAGTACCCTCTGCAGAGACACAAGATTCTCTCCAGGTGGGTACCAGCCAATGTACAGCAGGTGGACAACCCACCTTGTCCTCTCCGGATCACGGCCAGGGCCACAGGAATCCAGCAGTGTTCCATCAGGATTAGGAGGCAAAACGAAAATGGAAAAAGAACAGACGCCCTCCCCTTGCCAGAACAGGGAAATGAGACCAAATCTTCCAGAACCCTTAGATCACGGGGAAGAAGAGACACTATCTACTGTCTGGGGATGGTAGAGGGTCCGAACCAGTTCTGACAGACCAGTTCTCACTCCTTAGACCAAGGATTCTGTTCTTGTCCCTTTTTTTGGTAATAATATCCTCCCCCTCCCTCTTCCTGGGTCTTGGTAGCACGTGGCCAGAGCTAGAGCTCTGTTCTCAAGTGTTTAACTGAATGTGTCCTCAAAGGCTAAGTGGCTGGTGAGGTTGCACAAGGCACCCAGTCAGGAGGGTAAGGGCAGGGGGTACCTCTGCCACGTGGAGGTCAGAGCAGACAAAGGTAGCCACCTTAGCAGAGGGTGGCTGACCCGCAGGCGGGTCACTTGGACCACTAGAGTAAATAAAACCAGCATCTCTTTATTCTCAACTGTTTCAGCAGAGAATAAATTTGGATCTACTTACAGCCAAATAAGACCACAGCTGGCAAAAGATGGCCTCGGGCCCAGCTCCAAGTGTTGGTCAGTCCCCAGTAAGGATTAGACGCAGGAAGGATCGGAAGGAAAGAGACGCAATTAATTATCAAACTTTAATTGATAGACTAATCTTACAGGATAAACAATAAGACAGCTAGTCAAGGTTACACTTTAAAAAAAAAAAAAAAAATCCAGCAGCGCAAATCTAATAGACTAAATACGTTCATCTCCTCCCAAACAGGCATTTGATTTCAAAACAAACCAGAACAGAGCGTACGCCACAAGGAAACATGGTACTTACACATATTGTCAAATAACTCTGCAGAGCTCTTTAACAAAGAAGAGAAAGGTTCTCAGAAATTTAGAAAGCAGTAGAAGCACTCAAGCACTCGGCCGGCAGGTAAACCTACCAGATGTTCTGCGTATCACGGGCTCCGGGCCACCTGTGACTTCAGAAAGGCTGCAGGTCTGGGGAAGAAGGAAACAGGTGCCGACCCTAACTGCAGATGACTTCACCACAAGCCTTAAGACACAGGGACCATCTTCTTCCAAGACAACAGGCATGAACAGAGGCAGGGAGTGACAGAGAGGGTCCCCCAGCAGATGGGTGGAAGAAAGCCTGCCCTTGGGACTCTGGGTCTAACCCCTCTCCTTCTCGGCCCCTGGCAAAGAAAGGGTGGGCCAAAGGCAAGAGCCCGGCATGGCTCCTCCAGGCACATGGTTAAAGAGGAAGAAAATGCGTCCCTTCTGGGTGAAATATGGCAACCTGTCTGAGACGTGGCAAGGGAGCAGAGTCAACCTCTTTGGCCCTCCTCAGGTAAAACAGCAACTAAGGAGCCTCCTGAGGGCCTCGCCTGGCCCCGACCATGTCCACAAGATTATGAGAAAGTGCATCCTAAGTTAAACTTCATTTAAAAAGAGCAAATGCCACTTGCTAAAGACCCATCATGGATTAAAATACTTCCCACCACAGAGCTCCAGCAACTCACGGTCTAGGTCCTCTGATGGGGGGCTCAGCAGGGCTCCGAGGCTGCCTTACTCTGCCAAGTCTCCTCAGGGAGGAAAAGAAAGGCATGATGTCCTCGAGTGGAGACCCGGAGGAGGACGCTTTACCAATTCCGGACAGCAAAGCAGCCCCCTGGGTGGCACCGAGATGACAAACCCCAGGGCAGGACCTCTCCATCTCAAGCTTCAGGTGACGCCCTCAGAGGCCCTCTCTGGAGTCAGCTCTTCCTTTATCCACCTGCATGCCCCCTTCCACAGGGAGGGAAAGTTCTGGTCCCCTCAGACCCGACAGTGAAGGAACTGTACAGAAATAATCCTGAGGGAAAACAAAACACTGTGTTGCTACCTAAAGGGGGGGGCACTTGGCTCTGCTCACATGGATTTGGGCAGATGTGACTGAGTGACAAAACAGTGAAGACTGCTGGGACCCAGAGGTGGGCCTCTAACACTTCCCCCAGGGGCCTCGGTGCTGTCCCCCTCTGCTCTCCCGAGGGCTTCCAGCAAGGTCTCCTGCAGAGCTCAGGACTGTGACGACAGATTAAGGGAGCTCTGTGAAGCAGAACTCAACAGCTCCACACAAAAGGTGTCATTCACGTCATTATTTATATATAATATCTTTAAGTAAGGAAATAAGCACCATTTTACTGAAAATAAAAAGGCTCACGCAGGCTTTGGTCCTCTTGAAATGACACCAGCCTAAGTGAGAAGCAGTCTGGCCCCGGGGCAGCAGGGGGACAATGGCACACTCGCTCTGGCCGGGAGGGAGGAGGGTGAGGGCAGAGGAGGGGGCTGGTGGGAGGGGTCTCAGAGCCACTCTGGGGACAAAAAGACCAAAACTGGGCACATGGCACTGTCAGACAAGTCTCAAGGATGGGGACATCAGCAAACAAAGGGCAGTACTTAAACCCAGAGGACGGCTCTGCTTGCTACCTGATCCCTTCCCCTGCAGCCCTGTCAACCACAGGAGGCGGCTGGGACAAGCAGCAAAGGTGCACTCCTTTCCCCAGCGACTGCCAACAGGGACAAGAGCTGCAGTTACTGCTCCTTTTCCAACGATGGCAAACAGGCAGGTTCTTGGACGCTGCACTTCACATCCATACTTTATGCCCCCAAAAAGCGAAGAGTAGGTTTTCCTGCCCAGATGCGTAACTTGGCACTGACTACACCACAAAAAGCAAGAGTCTGTCTATGGAGATTCCTGAACTACAGCTTAGAAGGGAAGGGCGTAGAATATCGTCGTTAACTGGCTCACAAGGAATAGTCATCTTAGGCAAACACATGCTAATACATTTCACAGAATGAGGGGGAACAGCTTAGAATCCAAAGTGTGAAGTTGGGAAGATTTCTTGCCAGACCTTACTATGAGAGCCTGCAACCAGAGAGAGGAGAATTGCAGAGACAGCAGCAGAGATACAGCAAACAGCACAGAGGGTGTCATCCACCAAGAGACTGTCCCTCATTTCAGAGTCAATCAAGCCATAGGAGATGACAGAAGTGTACATGTACGAAGAACATAAGGGCTGAAACCAGAGGAGAGCTGATCATGAAAGCAATTTATCCCATTTCACTGTTCAAACACCACTGGCCAACCCGCTAGGTCAGGTGTCTTCTTACTGAGAAAGGCAGCATCTCTGAACATGGGATAAAGGACACTTGAACTTAATGCATGAGCAGAAGGACCAAATGGAGAAGCATAATTGAAATAATCATTGGACTGCTTAAGAATTTCTTGAAAACTTCCAAAGAAAGAAGGTCTCTGGATCTGTGGCTATATGGCTGCACCAACTATCTTCCACCTGGCTCCTTCTCCAAACTGGGGCTTTGGAGGAGCCCAGCCTAGGCACATCCAGGCCAGGCTGGGCCTCAAAGCCCCGCTCAGCGAAGGCTGCCCACGACCGCTGAACAGGCAATGGAATGCCCCACAAGTCGGGGCCCGAAGGGTAAGACGTTTAGACAGGAGTCACTTGTGAGATACTCTGCTGCTCAACACCACCACAGCAAGGGTGAGGGCTCCCTGACCATGACCCAGCAGCTCCCGTCTCCCATGTGCATTCCCAAGCAGCAGCAGCACGTGGGAGAGAGCCCAGGAAAGGAAGCGTGGATGAGGTACCAAAAGAGGAACTGACATCTTTGGGTTTTTAAAACAAAAACTCAAATCTAGGGAAGTGAGAAAATTAAAAAAGGAAAGAAATCTCAATCAATCAACAGAAAAAAATGGCTTACTAACCCCCCCACAACATTTTGCATACAATTTTATACCAAGGAAAAAGAAAAAAAAAATACCCCAACTCATCACATTGCAGTCCAAATGTTTGCAACCAAAGATTTATGAAAATATTTCAGTTTAAATCATTTTTTTTTAAAAAAGACAAAAACAAAAACAAAACTCAAAGCTTTTCATCATTTCCTTCTCAACATAATTGGCAGATCTACTCTCAAACAGACTTAAGAGTATTCCACACAACACGTTCGGAATTCAGATTTATTGATTTCCACCATACTGACTTTAAAAATGGTATGAAGCTGACTGCAAGAAAGGGAATCGGTGATTTTAAGTTAAAATTAAGCTAATGGTGAAAGTACATCACCTCTGGCTTCAGTCACCACATCACCTCCGATTGAATCGAGATTTGTGTGTGTGAACAAAGTTCCAGAACTCTGAAATCCAGGGCTGCTGCAGGCCTCTCCGGCAATGTCCTTCACTTTGGGTCAGTCTCCTGGGCCAGAGGTGAAAGTGCTTTCAAAAATACTGCCATTTGCCCAGCACAGTGTCTTTGATTGCATCCACATATTGAGTTGGAACCCAGTACACCCAGTAGTAAGAGGCTTCCGTGGGGCCCAACTGAAACGCCTGGAAGGGAAAAAGGAAAACCAAGCCAACTTCAGAGGCGGGTGACCAAGCAGGCAGAACCACACACACGGGGAGAGGGCTGGGAAGTGGATTCATTCAAAAGGGAAGAAAACAAAATGCAATTGTGCACAGGGGGACACTCTCCTAACATGTTTAAAAACCAGGAAAAGAAAAGGGGGGTGGGGCTCAGCATGGCCAACCCCAAGGCAGTGGCTTGCAAACATGCGTGTGCATCAGAACCATCTGGAAGGCTCCCGAGAACTGACCGCAGGCTGCACCCCTGGGAGTTTTGGTTTGGGGCAGGGCCTGAGTAACTTCCAATAAGCTCCCAGGTAATCCAACACTGCTCAAGACCAATTTGAGAACTGCTGCCCTAGAAAACCTGACACCATGCACAAGGAGAGTGGTGGGCACGTTGAGACAGCGCTAGCGGAGACAATAACACCCCAGCAACAACTACACATCCATCAGGAAGGGGATGCGGGATCCCGAGTGGTGTAAGCTATTCATATAAACACTGGCGTGCTTTACAGAGGTATGAGCTGGTCCTTGTGCATCTAGAGTTCATATGACTGAACATGATGTCGAACGAAAAAAACCAAGTTGCAGAACAGCACACACCATGATGTCCTTTATGAAAACCGGAAAAAAAAATACTCAATCTTGTCCGTCGACATATACATAAAAGAACTGTAGATGGAAAGACACACAGGTGTGATGATGGGAATGGGGGAAGGGGAAGACAATGGGGACATCATTGCTGTTGGCAGAATTTATTTTTTATTTGAAGAAAAGATTTAAACCAAGTTACAAAGGATTTACAATTGTTCTCAGTGATGGGGGGATGGATGGCTTGTGGTATTCCCTTTCCTTTCCTGTACTGTTAGAAACTCATCTCCAAAAGAAGAGCACAGCCACATTTCTCTAATTGTGAACTGTGACACATTTATCTAGCTAGAGAAATGGCATGTGCTTCAAGAGGGAAGTAAATACTTTTCATCAGCACAAAAATGCTACTCAGCAGTGTTTAGAAGGAGGAGTGACTAGAACCACCCTCTGCCAGCAATGACTCCCTAGGGAAATGAACACTTTTCTGAGGACTAACTCATTACCATGCACACTAAGTCCTGAAGAGATGTCCAGGGTGGTGGGCTCAACTTGTCTGTAATCCCTACCATCGGGCCGCCTGAAATCTGAGGCTGCAAACCCTACAGAGTCAAAATGCTCACACAAATACTTCAAACACAAAAATGCCACCATTAAAACAGAAAAATAATGAAGGCAAATCAAACCTGTCTGCAGTCATGTAGACTGCAGCGAAGCAGGGTGAAGGGCCACGGATGGGCCTGAAAGATGCCCCAGTGATGTTGTGGCCACTTTCAGGAAGGACAGGAACTTGCAGCCTAGAGTCCCAACCACAGCCCTGCACTAGCACCACCATACATGGCAGGCACAGGGACAGGCTGGCTCTCTAGCTGATTTCTCCCTTTAACAAGGAGATCTTCTGACAGATCCCTCTGCCATGGAATTCGCAACACCACCCGCTGGTCAAACCACTGAACTGCTCCTTCTCCTTGGGACGGAGTGCACCACTATCCATAGACGCTGAAAAAACCTCCCTCCTCACAGAAGAGGGCAAATGGTCCTGCCCTCACACCACTGCTAGCTCAGGTCAAGTCCCTGTCATAGCAACTTCAGAGTTTAGGCAGTTAAACTTCCTGTATAAAGTGGCCCCTCGATCTAGCATACTTGAGGCTGAGTTCAATATTCAGCACTGAAAAGTTACCAAAAAAAAAAAAAAGGGGGGGTGTGGGGGGACCCCTTCAAATAGTGCTGGAAAAGGGAGCCTGGTCTACACTGCTTGCTCTGCAGACCTGGGGAGTGGCTCCAGACACACTGCCTGGAAGCACAGCCTGGGCCCTGCGGAGAGCCTGGCCCTGCATCGGACACCACGAGGGTGACACCTAGACGCCTCAACACCAAGGCCAGGGGGTGCTCTCTTTTTTAAAATCAAGAAAAATTTAAAAATGAAATCCACAACCCATTCCTCCTCTTCGTATTTATTTTCCTGGTCTAAAAACAAAATATGACAAATGAGAGGGAGGTACAGGAGAAGTCTAACAGCACAGGAGAAACGCGCCCCTCCAGCTGTGGCATGGGGGTGGGGGGTAGGGGGGCAGCTGCAAAACAGAACTGAGAAGAGGGTCATGGGTCAAGTTCTTAGTGACAAGAAAACACAAGAGTCTTAACACAGTCCTTAGAAGACAATGTTTTTTCTTCAATAGCAAAGCTCAGTTGAAATCCACCCCCTGCTAGAGAAGGCAGAACCGGCACCTAGCTGGGGGCCAGGTCAGGCCACTTACCATCATGTGGTAGTCCTCGTGTCCTTCAATAGGTTCACTGACCACATTTTTAATGGAGCCCATGGGCAGTTTCTCAGTTCGCTCTAGGTTGAGAGGGACGACAGTGGTTATTCAAAGGCCCCCCAGTTCCTCGGCTGCAGCAGTCCCTCCCTCATCAAGGCTACAGGATCTACAGTAAACGGCTCATGGCACCAGGCCCTTGAGGGACCACGGGGCAGCATCTTTAAATAGTGCCCCTACATCCCTGCTTGGCAGCTGGGAACTTTCTTTCCTACTGGGGACTGAACTCTGGGGTGCACTCCTACTAAGCTCTATCACCAGCCCATTTGATTTTTTGAGACGGGGTCTTGCTGAGTCGCCCGGGTGGCCTGGAATTTGTCATCCTCCTGCCTCAGCCTCCCGAGTGGCTGGTATTTCAGGCACGTGCCACCACTCCCAGCTAGGAGACTTGGAATTTCGCAGGAGCAAATGGGGAACAGGATTGGGAATGATGACAAAAGTTTCTGAGAGCAGAAATAGATCTTCCCTGGCGATAGTTTTCAAAGTCTGATGGTTTTTTAAATAAATACCAAGAAACTCCTTTATACCCTCACGGCCCAAGCTCAGCATCGGCTGAGATCCTGGGCGCCTGGCATAGGAGTTAAGAGGCCAAGGACAGAGGAGCAGCAGTGTTCCCGGGGCTCTCACAGGAGGGAGGAGTGCTCCAGCTATAAGGCCACCTTCCACACCAGGCCCTGCCGAGCATTCTCCCTGTGCACACATCAGGTGTTCTACAACCTGGCGTGAATGACGACTGAAACAACACTGATGACACGGGCTGAAGACGCTAAGAAAGAGGTGGCGGACAGGGTGCCTGGAGTGAGATGAGCCTGCTGGGCAGGAGCCCCGTGCAGCAGGGTGGGTGTGAGGCAGGGGCGGGCATTCCCAGCAAGCTGAATCAAGGAGAGAAGGACCCATGGCAGCCTTGGCAGAAAGAAAAATCTGGAAAGGTAGAATGTGAAAATAGGCAAGCGGCCTGACTAGCAATTTACAGACAGGGTTCTGGCCTTGTTGCTGACCACACTGGGGGCCCTGCCTCTGAAAAATGGGGATCAGGGGCAAGGAACCCAAAGATGTTCTCTTGGGCTTCGACTTTCTAGGTCTCTAAACCAGTGGTGAAGATTGAAACTTTCTAAAACAGCTTTCACCTTGAAATGTCTGGAGATTTCACATAAAAATATGGATTTCTGGCTTCTCTTGAAACCTTCAGAGATTGGACCTGCTGGTCCCCCGTTCCAGGGTGATGGCAACTAAACTAGACGAGAGCGCCACAAACAGGGCTCAGGGCTCCTGGAGCTGCGGGTGCTTCCTGCTCTGCTGTGCCCGAGTCCATCAGCTCGGCTTCCTCCTACACAAGCAGCAAGGAGAGCACAAAAGCCTGGGGGGGCCGCTTACTTAGCAAAGCACCCCATGGACAGGGATGGACAGGGAGGGTCGTCCATAGCAGCTTCTGGCTGGTGGAAAGACAATGCCAGTGGCTAGCAGCCAGCTCCCAGCACAAGCTGTCCTCCTCCAAGTACTGCCACTAATAACAGGACTCCTGGGCCAGTGGGAAGGGCATCTGCTCCCTGGGCTGCTGAGGCACACTGACCCCAAGGTCTGGGTGGGAGTAAGGTCTCAGCTTCGGCCGAGCCTGGATGGCACCAGGGCTGGTGAGGAAGGAAGCTCTCATTAGCTCGGAAGCTGCTTCGAGAGCTCTGCCCTCAAGCCAAAGCAAGAAGGCGGCCACTGAAAACCTCCAACTTAAGGACGGGCAATTCTTAGTAAAGTCTGTCCACGTGGTTACTATGCATCTCCTACACCACTTCATAACACAAAGATATTCCTTGAGGGCCCAGCGAGCTTGGAGAGACTCAGGCCTCACCAGACCGTGCTGCACCTACCCTCCTGCACATTACTCTCTTCCTGGATCCACCTTGGCAACTGCCTTCAAGTGGGCTGCCCACAAGCCAAGGGAGAAGTCTGGCAAGAGGCAGGAGGTCTATGCGCTCCAGCAAATGAATGCAATGATGGAGAACCAAGCGAGATCACCCGCAAAGCCAACACAGGCAGGCAGCTGGCCGCTGATGAGGAGGATGGGGGCAGGAAAGAGTGGTCTAGTGAAGGGCTTGAAGGCCCTTGGAGAAACCAGGGAGCCCCTCCAAATTTGCAAAGCTTGCTCTGACCAGGCAGTTGAGCTGCATGTGAAATGAAGACTATAAGAAGTTACCATAAAATGTTAGAAAACTCAAGCGCTTTTGGCATTTCAATCTGCTCATTTTAAGAACCAGCACAGAATTGAAAATAAGAAACTTATTTCTGTGTTCTAGAATGTTCTAGATGATAAAAATCTCACTCCCCGCCACCCTTGTCCCAAGTTTTATTTTCTATAAAACTTTGGTCCCATTTTAGTGGAGTCATAACAAATGGCCTGTCCCTGAAACCAATTAGCCTCAGATAATGGGACCCCTATACTTCTCTTTAGCATTTACCTCGCACACTGAATACCTACAGTGCTGGCCAGAAACAGGTGAATTGTTCGGTTCCCTCCGGGAATCTAACGGGGGACAGACAAGTCAGAGAGTAATGAGTGCTCTGGGGACATGAGGAACAGAAGCGGCAGCAGTTCATTTGGAGGGGATGGGAGCTATCAGGGAGGCTTCATTAGGAGGGGGCACTGCAGCAGGGCCTCTGAAGAGTTCATTAACGACAGGAAGGGCACAGCATGAGCGAAGCAGAGGAAGTCAGCCGAGACACACAGGGACAACAGGGCACGCAGAGCAGGCAATAAATCTATACTGGGGCTCACTATGAAGAACACGCAGCACTGGGTTCAGGCATTTGAACTCTGTGTTAAGGGGCCAAAGGTGTTTTGAATGTAGGAGCCAGTGACAAAAGGAGTATATGACTGGGGGAGCTGGGGTGGTGGCTCAGCGGTAGAGCGCCCGCCTAGCATGTGAGAGGCCCTGGGTTCCATCCTCAGCACCACATAAAAATAATGGTAATGTGTCCAACTACAACTAAAAAATAAGTAAAAACAAAACAAAAAGAGTACACAACGTGGACAGGACAGAAGATGACGGCCGAGCAGGGAGGTGACAGACTTGCTCTTAACACAACTTGAGAGGTGTTAATAGCCCTGACACACACACACACGCATGGTGGCCAAGAAAGGGACACAGACGTTACAGAATGTAACCAACAAGACTTTGTAACCACTAAGGGAAGGGAGAGCGAGCATGGTCCAAGACACTCCCCAGGAAACAGCAAGGGTGACCCAGATACTGCGCACAGCAGGGCGGAGGGCACCCGGGCGGGGGGACTCAGGCAGCAGTCAGGAAAACCTCACCTAGCACAGGTCTACTGACCTACAGGGACCAGGCAGGCGACATAATGAGCAAGCTGGCTACACGGGGAGAGGAGCACGGCCCACTGCGAACCACTACTCAGTTCTAGCTCCTCGGTGCCATGGGAAGGCAGGCCCCAATCTTTTGATTTTTTTTTTTCCCCAAGAGAAGCCCCTCAAAAATCAGATTAAGTAAAATCTCCTGATTTTTGCAAATTGTGTTTAAGTAAGCCCATAAAGCCCTTTACGGAGACCAGCACTTGGCCCTGGGCCACATGTTCTGGACCTCTGGTTCTCTGTGCAAGGAGCCAATGTTCAACAGGTCGGCTCTGGTATCAGACTGCACAGGAGCAAAAAGGGTCCAAACAAGACATGAGCATCTAAAAGCAAATTCAAAAGCCAGAAGCACACAAAGCAGTGAGGCGAGAGGTTCCAACGAGGAGCGGCAGCCCTCAGAACCAGTGCTGCTGGGCGGCAGAGGCAGGCGTGGGCTGGGAGGAGGCTGAGAACCAACTTACCTTTAGTGCCAATCCACAGCTGGTCTTGTTCGAGCTTAAAGGTGAGTCTCACTTTTCCTCCAGACTTGTTATACATGCCGGACAAGGGTACCGTTGGCAGGCGCTCCTGGAGGCACGACGACATGGTGAGAGGGGCAGGGACAATTGGACAGAGAAAAGAAGGGACAGGACGTGAGGAAACAATTACAAGACTCTCTGAAGGTGGGACTGGTTCCTTTCCAGATGGTCACAAAGAAGTCGGGCTTACCTGGGCCCCCTTGACAGACGGCATGACGTCTTCAGGTTTCCCTTTATCCAGCACCTTCCTGTGTTGCTACAACACAAGCCAGAAGACACTGTCACGTGACATAGCTGTTTACAATTTAATCACATTGCTCTGTATCAAAATGGGATGAAGAAAGTCTTAACATTTTTGTGCAAAAGCCTTTAATGTTTGCAGACCATGATCCCTTGACACAGCGGAGCAGTGCTGTCCTTAGGAGTTGCTGTGATGAGGGAATCTTCCACACCTGTGTTGGCCATCAGTCAATATGAGGCTATTAAGCACTTAAAATGTGGCTAGTAAGACTGAGAACTGCCAGGTGTATGCTCCTAGCTACCAGGAAGGCTGAAGCAGAAGGATTACAAGTTCAAAGCTAGCCTAGGCGACTGAGCAAGATCCTGTCTCAAAATTTAAAAAAGGGTGTAATTCAGTAGTAAAGTGCCCCTGGGTTCAATCCCTGGTACTGCAATAATTAAACAGAAACAAGACTGAAGAACTGAATACTTAATTTAATTATTTAATCAGCTCAATGTAGCTATAATATCCAATGAACTTCTGGAGCCAAGAGGATTTCCAGATTGCTCAATCAAATGTTCTACTCCCTTTCTTTGCAAAAAGTCACCAATGAAAGGATTAAACACCTTGATAAAGCTGCAAAGGGTGTTGCTCTTCTGGCAGGTAGAAAATGTCAGCAATCTCTGTCAACTTCAACTCCCAAAGAGAACTTCAAGATGCTGGTAATCAACCTAACTGCTGAGAAGGGACCCCCAGCCCATCGAAGACGTCTTCCCTACTGCCCCATCCTTAACCCCAGCCTCAAAGAAAACTTGAGGAATTACATTTCCAAGCAGAAACACTGACTACTTTGACACTAAGAAGTCTCAAACCTCACTCCCACCCAACGCTGAGGAGGTGAGGCAGCTCATAGGGGTTCGAATCCATGGCCCCTACAGCTCTCAAGTCTCATCTTTTCTCCAACTGTGGCTTTCCAGGTCAATGCTTGGTAAAGCTGGCACTAGGGGACAAGGAATGGACAGAGGGTAAAAATTTGGTCAAATGTAAGCACCAGGAACCATGAGCCAGCTCACTTACTCACTGACATGCAGAACCTGTGGCAGGAATGAATGCCACACTGCCAGCAAAGAGTCACCCTGCACATCAGCTCCAGATACCTGAACGTGTCCATAAAAAGCTGAAGGGACTGGATCCCTTATTAGGCCATGTCATACCTCATAATAACTGGCGTCACTCAAACAAAGTGGCACAGGTGGGAAGCATAATTACGAGTCATGCCTTACAAGCACCTTTTGAAGAATCCTTCCTGCACTGCGGAGAACGGTTCTAAGCCTGTTAAACTACCACCAGTCACTTAAAACCTGTATTTACAAGGCATGTTATGCTCTAAGGGTGTGACCAGTGAGAATGCTCACTCAGATCTGTTCATACATGTGACAGGGAAGGTGGGAAAAGAGAACACATTACAGGATATTATGACCCCTTATGTGGAGAGTGAAAAAACCTTCAAATAAACACCTTTTGGATGGTAATATAGGTCTATGATCCCTTATCTAAAATCCTAAGGATGGGTAGGAGAATAGCTCAGTGGTAAAGTATGTACAGGGCCCCAGGTTTAATCCCCAGCACCAAAAAGCAAAACCAACACAAAACTTCCTATACACAGATATTTTAGACTTTAAGAGTTTCAGGGCGGGGGTTATGGCTCCGTGGCAGAGCACTTGCCTAGCATGTGTAAAGCACTGGGTTCAAACCTCAGCACCACATAAAAATAAACAAAATAAAGACATTGTGTCCATGTGCTAAAAGAAAAAAAAGTTTCAGAAAATATACTTTCAAAATTATATAATATCCTCTATGGGGCCTGGGGGAGCCACTTGTCACCAGTATGTTAATATTTCTAGAGCAAATTATGAATATTCACACTCTAATCAGGTTTTGCTGTATATTTATAAAAGCACTCCTGGTTTTCAGAACCCTTTTGAAAACTTGAAAGCACACAAAAGGGATTACGGATTTCTAACACAAAATTGGGTTTCCTAATGTTGGCCATATATCTTAGTACCTATTATCACTAAAACTGGTATCAGTCCAAGTTGCTCTCCTCTGCTTAGGACACAGATTAAAATGAGAACACCTGTTTTCTGTACAAGGAAGCTATTCAGCAACAAGTGGGATTCACTGGGTAATAAGATCACGAACAATGATTTTTCCTAAACTGTTCCCTTTACAGTAAAATAATCTCACTTTTCCTAAAAACAAAAAAAGAATTTGAAGCTGGCATAGTGGTACATGCCTGTAATCCTAGCCACTCAGGAGGCTGAAGAAGGAGAACTGCAAATTTGAGGCCAGCCTGGGCAACTTAGCTAGATCCCATTTCAAAACAAAATTTTTCAGAAGGGCTGATGATGTAGCTCAGTAATAGAGCACTTGCCAACCCCACTACAGCAACCAAAAAAATAAAATAAAATAATTAAGTAAAAATAAAAGGAATTTTAATGGCTACAATGATTACAAAACAAAGTTGGATCTCTTCTATCCAAATGAGCAACGGAGAAAAGTCAGGTCCTCATTTCATGGTTCAGGAGGACAAAAAATAAATAAATAAAAAAGTGTCATTATCTTCCTATTCAGCTTCATTCGAGTTCCTGAAATGGTCAGTCTCAGAGGAACTCTGAAATTGGTTGATTTCCATGCCTCTTCAGAATTACACTTGTTGACTTGAGAAAAGCCACAAACAAAAACTCAAATGTAACCACTTTTCAAAATGGAGGCTTAATACTAGTACTGACATTTTTTTTCTTTTTGCACTCAGCCAGATAGAGAAGCCCACATCTAATTTCTTTTCATATCTGGTCTGAAGCCTCCCTGTTCAAAGGCCTTATCCTAAAGTAGGTAGACTTGAGACACACTGACCCGCCAGACGAGACAAAGTTGCAAATCTCAGGTAGCTGTCACCTCCACTCTGCTGCACCCAACTGCTGCCATAAATTTCCATCAGGGGCCCTGTCCAAAAAGGAGCTTATTCTAGGGAGAACATCATCAACCAAGGCTGCAGAGGACAAAGCCTCTCATTTCTCAGGACCAACAAGCACAAGATGGACTCACTTTCTGCCTACAGAGAGGCTCCTTCTTGTTCTCTTCGGCCTTGGCGTCCTGCTGTGCGGCATCTTTGGGTGTGTTTACTGCTAAGACATCATTTATCGTAGAGCCAACCACCATGATCTTGGCTCCACTGGTCACTTTTATTTCTCTCAACGTCTTATCTTCAGGGACAAGTCCCTTATACATGACCTTCTGCATGGCAGGCGGGAGACCTTGGGAAAAGGTAGAGGGCAAAGAATGAAAGGAAAAAAAAAATGCACGGACCATACAGTACTTTGATGATGTAGCAGGAAGTGAACAGGGGCTCCATCATCATCTGTTTTGTGAACCTGGGTAATTCACATCTGAGCCTCAAATTCCAGAACTTTCTAACAGAGATGAAAGTAGATCTTTCTGCATAGATTTGTTATAAGGATTAAGAGACAGGACAAATGTAGAACATTCAGCATAGTGCCTGTTTTTGTTCAATGAATTGCTCAATGAATTTTAGCTATCACAGGCTGGGGTTGTGGCTCAGTGGTAGAGCACTTGCCTAGCATGTGTGAGGCACTGGGTTCAATCCTCAGCCCCGTATAAATAAATAAAATAAAAGGTACTGTGTCCATCTGCAACTAAAAAAAATTTTTCTTAGCTATTGCTGTTTCCAAATTGTGCAACATCCAATCACTCAAATATTCAAGGAGGGTTCACAGGTGTCAGCAATATAGAAGTCAATAAGGACAAAGTTACTGCTTTTACCCAGCTTATAGGCCACAGAGAGAAAAAAGAGCATCATTTCAAATGGCCAAGAACTATAAATGAAAAAAAAATAAGTGTAAATGAGAGAAAATGAATACATATGAGTACCTGTGAAGGGTCAGCAAGACAGCCACCAGCAGTATTTCCTAACCTTTCCTTGTGAAAGTTGGAATCTAAGATGATATGCTAAAAAAATAAGCTCCTGGCCGAATCCCAAACCCAATGAATCAGAATCTCCCGGGGAAGGGCCGAGGTGCTGTGAAGTTAACGAGTGCCTCAGGTGATTTTTACTAGCGACGCTACAGACTTAAAGAGTCGGAGCTGGGTTGGAATCTCGGCTGGGCCACTCGCTAGCTCTGAGATGGAGGGTCTCATCTGCCCATTATTAACCAGATGAGGAGGAATGCAAGCACTGACTTGGGAGGACCGAGGGGGCCAATGCACAGAGGGCAGCGAGCACAATGTCTAGTGCAGCGTAAGCACTGGAGGCTAAAGGGGGGTGGGGTGGAGGGGGTGGGGTGGAGGGAGCGGGCTGTCAGCGCCGAGATTACCTGTGATCGAGTGGATCTTCTGCTTCAGCTCGGAGCCCGTGCTGTCCAGAGGCACCCTCACGTCGTGCTTGGTCTTGTTCCAGATGATCTTCAGGTCCACCAGCTCCCTGCCCGCGCCGCCACCCGCGTCCTCGCCGTTGCTGACCGAGGCCTGCGCCACGGGGTCCCCAGGGGGCTGGGCCGGGGCCGGCTGCAGACTGCCTCGCGCGTCGCAGGAATCCTCGGACGCCGCCGCCCCCGCCGCGGCCTCGGCCTCCATGCAGTTGAGGGGCCGCGCGGGCGCCTCGGTGGCCACGGTCTCGGCCTCCGTGTCCATGCCAGGCTCCTCCATGCCTGCAAGGGGGTTAGGGGGTGGGCGCTCGCCGCCGACTGGGCCTGGAACCCGACTCTGGCCGGGCGCCGCCGCTTCACCGCTCCCGAAACACGCTCCTCCCTCCGGGTCCAGGCCGCATCCCCGCCCCGCC